ATTAGAGTGTAGAATAAACCATAACCACCTGCGATTATTTCATAAATGAACACCACTCAGCTCACCACCCACTTGTATATCCAGAGAAATAAATAATTTTGATGGTGGAGTGGACAACCCTATCTCAAGAAGATAACTCAATGGTTACCGAAACAGTGGTGTTGTGTCTAAAGGCAATCACCTTGTCATTGATAAACAAGACGTAAATGCACAGAACCAGAATAAAGGGTTTCCCGTCTAGGACTCACCAACTGGATGAATCGGCATCTCCCAGTGAGTGATGGTGTTTCCATTGAGATCTGAACCTCAGTAGCCACCCTTTCAAATTTCAAACCATTAAAAACTCGACCACGTGAGCCATGGAACGCTCCTTGTGCAGTGCAAATCATTTCTTATTTGTTTCTAGTTCAACTTTCATTTTCACATTGATTGGATCTAGGTGTTATCGAAACATCCACTCTAGGGGCCGACATATCTGTAGACGCCGAACACTTCAGTACAGTCAATCCACAAGAAGATCAAAACTGAGTTAAAAACTAATCAGATACATGAGGCTATTGTTCACACAGAATACATGTAGGGAAGTTTCCATTCAACCGTAGGAAGCTAAATACCAAAGACCAGATAGAATGTCAATAACTCTATTATGGATAAGATTTTATTTTGATAAGTCACGCAGTGTTGTACAGTGTTGATTTATCAAAATAAAATCTTATCCATAATGGAGTGATACTCTACCACAGTGACCAAGTTTTATTCTCATATCAAGAATGGCAGTAAATTAAACGAGATAGATTTTAGTGGAAATTAATATTTACTGTCATAGAGTAACGACACATTTAACTGAATGTGCACTTACACTACTTACTAGTAATATGTGTCATCAGATGAAACACAAAGGGATCCATGACGAAATATAGATGAGAGACGAACTTTAAATAAAACATACAGTGAATAAAGCATAAATGTTGCTGCAGTTGTTTGTGAACTACTGCAATCGGTACCAAAATTAGGTAGTTACCATATGATGCACTTTGTTTATATCTATTTTGTTTTTCTAAATTTTAGTTTTCCAATTAGAAAATAAAGCTGGAAGCTTGAGCTTTAAGGCTTAATTAACATTTGTGATTAATTTTATCACCGTTGATACAAACCCTGACTACTTTCTTGGTTTTTGAATATTCTACCACAGAAACACAGACTCACAAATCTAACATGTAAAAAGGCTCAGATTCTGCTTATCATCTCAGTTTACTCCGTGTGGTTATAATTTTTCTGTATGTACTAAGAGTACTGGCTCCCGCAGTGGGAGTCGAACATGGGCCACCTGGGTGAAATCTAGGAATACTCAACTCCAGATGGTAAGTCGCCATATGACTAAACCACTGACTAGCAGATGCGGGTGTTGTAAAAGCGAATAGCTCTACGTCTTCGAATGAACTGTGATCAAGATTTGATCGAATAGTTACAAAAGACTCGGGCGCTGAGTGCGAAGCAGACATTTGTAAAAATTGTACTTGCAAAATCTCAGTGAAACTGAAAAAAGTACTTCCATCGTCTATTTAGGTGAACAGAGAGATAATTTCCAACTGAAGTAACAAACTTTCATGTATTTATAGTCGCTCCATAGAAACATACAGATAATCGGGAATGTACATTAAGTATGATAGAACATTCACACATATCCATATAAATTTATTAATCAGGACTTGCCATCCATCAGCTAACATCACAGCCGTGAAGGTATGATTTCCGATCATTTTCCTGAAGACGTTTGAACCAGTTTGCAGCGTTGAGACTATTTTCTTTCACTTTGGAAGAAATTTTATAAGTATGACTTGTACAAACCATTATGTCAGCCACCTTTAAGAAGACACATAAGTGAATACCAGGGTGGTTTCTAGAGGGCTACATGAATTCGTCTCTCATCTATATTTCGTCATGGATCCCTTTGTGTTTCATCTGATGACACATATTACTAGTAAGTAGTGTAAGTGCACATTCAGTTAAATGTGTCGTTACTCTATGACAGTAAATATTAATTTCCACTAAAATCTATCTCGTTTAATTTACTGCCATTCTTGATATGAGAATAAAACTTGGTCACTGTGGTAGAGTATCACTCCATTATGGATAAGATTTTATTTTGATAAATCAACACTGTACAACACTGCGTGACTTATCAAAATAAAATCTTATCCATAATAGAGTTATTGACATTCTATCTGGTCTTTGGTATTTAGCTTCCTACGGTTGAATGGAAACTTCCCTACATGTATTCTGTGTGAACAATAGCCTCATGTATCTGATTAGTTTTTAACTCAGTTTTGATCTTCTTGTGGATTGACTGTACTGAAGTGTTCGGCGTCTACAGATATGTCGGCCCCTAGAGTGGATGTTTCGATAACACCTAGATCCAATCAATGTGAAAATGAAAGTTGAACTAGAAACAAATAAGAAATGATTTGCACTGCACAAGGAGCGTTCCATGGCTCACGTGGTCGAGTTTTTAATGGTTTGAAATTTGAAAGGGTGGCTACTGAGGTTCAGATCTCAATGGAAACACCATCACTCACTGGGAGATGCCGATTCATCCAGTTGGTGAGTCCTAGACGGGAAACCCTTTATTCTGGTTCTGTGCATTTACGTCTTGTTTATCAATGACAAGGTGATTGCCTTTAGACACAACACCACTGTTTCGGTAACCATTGAGTTATCTTCTTGAGATAGGGTTGTCCACTCCACCATCAAAATTATTTATTTCTCTGGATATACAAGTGGGTGGTGAGCTGAGTGGTGTTCATTTATGAAATAATCGCAGGTGGTTATGGTTTATTCTACACTCTAATTTCAGATCAACATTTATGTTTTATTTTCGTTTGTTATTGCATTCAGCAATGAATGCATTCCAGTAAAGCAGATGACAACATGGAGAGAGAGTAAATCTCAGACTCGATTCGCAGAGAAATATTTGTATTGTACGATAGCGATAAGGCGAAATAAATACTAATGGAATTTACGTAATACAGAACAGTGTAGTACAAGACAATTTGTCGATCAGTGCATTATGCAGTCACTGAGAAATTTATTCAAAATGTTTTTCAATACAGTCTAGACGTATCTTTGGGATAAATTCAGCTTTCTTGATGGCAGTAAGTGAGTAGTTGCCTCTAATGAAATCAGCATAAATCCGGTGTTTTCCTTCATGAATCAAGTGGGTGTTGTTGAGCATATAATGTGCATTGAATCGAAATTATTCATACCGCGTTTTGAACATATTTGCAACATGACCGCAACAACACTAGTATGATCTTACGATTGTAGAACACAACAAAGTTTGAAACTCTACTGCTTTAATTCTTTCAATGGGAAGTAAAAATGGGAGGGAAGAATATTCAGTTAGTTTTGAAAATATATATGATCAGTGAGAATATGAGATGAAATAATTCAGTGATATAAATATATACTTTTTATTACTATTTACTTGGATTCACAAAGTAATACTGGGCTTTACCAACTTATCTTCACTCTGTTCTATTTTCTGTCCTTCTCTTCACCTGAGTCAACGATTGACCATAATCTATTGTCTGCTCCTCGTATGATCTCCATATCACCCCTGGATGACCTACTCATCGTTTCCCAATCGGATATCACTAAAGCGCTGGCCTGCATTGCGTGCGATGTCATTCGACGGCGTCCTCAAGTTATGCCCAGTCCGTCCTCATATTCTTCCGCATATCTTCTGAACAATCAGCTTTTGGTTTGTTTGTTCGCAGCCAGCCTTCTATGTTGCTAAATCTTTCTGGCCGGCTGGCAGTTTGATTTTCAGTTTGGAATGAACGAAGCCAGCTGCTGATAAAAGTCTGCCTTTGCCTGTTGGAAATCCTTTTCGTGACACGCTGGTCAAGTTTCTGACCCACATAGAAGAACTGACTGGCTTCACTTTTGGACTGAAAATCCTAACCTTCTTGTATCTGCTGAGTGCAGAAGATTTCCAAACTGATTTCAAGTTGATAAAGGGGTACCATGCCTTTCGGATCCTGAATGAACAGCTTTTAGATCTTCATTTACTTCGCCAGCCCGTGATTGCAATCGTGCTTCCTAGTCGGATAAGTGAAGCAGATAATCTTTGTCAAATCTGTACCGTTGATTGATGATGATTGGTGCTGGTTGTTGCTACTGTTGCTGTTAGTTAAATATCTTCAACACCTCCTTCTTTTCTATGTCCTTCAGGAATTCTGCTTTTTCTCTGGCCGCTTCTTCAGGCAGTTAGTTGGCTTTCGCCAGCAAGCTCTCGAGTTTATGTGACTTTAAAAATAGGTCATATGTGAAATCCATATCTTCTAGAGTCTTCTTATTGGACCAGGGTATTCCTTGCTCACTCCCCACTCATAATCTGTAGCATAATCCAGTCGACCACAAATAGGAATATCATTGGAAATAGCTGACAACCTTCTCTTACCACTGTCTTCACGTCGAACACCTCGCTGAGCTTTCCGTTGTGCATCACCTGACTCGTGCCTTTCTTACATAGATGCTGAATGAGGTTGATAAAGATTTAGCCGCTGAAAACCATAGTGTTGAAGTAGTTTCCAAATTACTTCTAAGTCAACACTATTGAAGGCACTCTAAAAACCGATGAAGTTGAGGTTAAAGGTTAGACTGTTGAAAACCGAATTGTCATATAACGCCAAATCAAAAGAAATTAAAATTGATGAGTTGGTTCGAGATAGTCAGTAAAATGTCTCCAGAATAAAGTTAGCGTTTATTGGTACTCTTTAACACGGTCTGTTTGCACAGTCGAAGTTATCTTATGTGTTCTTCTGAATAATATGCTGTTCATTGGAAGTTTTACCATCAAGTATTAAACAAAGTGTGTTTATCGAATGGTCAGTTAATGGATTGTATCAAAGTACACGTGCATACACACACTGTTAAACGAATGAAGAAACCACCAATCAGCAAATTCTAAGTTGAGTCTTATTGAATCACTCATAGTTTCACTATTCGGATGTTTAAGCATTCCGAATCACATCTCAGCATACACACAGACTGCTTTAGTATAATCGAGCAGGCGAACTCATTTTTCTTTTTTCTGCCATTCTCATCGACTCTTCATTTTAAAATATCAGGCCGAATAAATGGTTGAAAAACATGGAAGTCAAATACTCGTCAACAAATCTACTTCAAATCAAAGACGTCATGTTAATCATCGGCTAGTGACACTTTCGAAGAAGCGAAGGATATCTTATCGCCGCATCATTTTTATATTAAATGTGAGTTGCGTGTGTGCGTGTTTTTTCGTTTGTTTGTTTATCAGAAGTCGACTAGTTTGATGTCAATTATATCACATGCATTCATTTAGAATCCATTTATTTCCAGTGCAGGAATTTCAGCACCACTTGACGTGGAAAATTTCTAATATAATTCTATTACTCCAAGTGTTTTTTAGCTTGAATATACCGTGTGGATTATGAGTAACACCACTATGATGAGTATTTGTAAAAATCAATTTTCATCACTAATTCTGACATTTAATCCAGTTCAAGTAAGCACTTGACTAGGAAAATCAGAATGCATTATTCCCATGCTGGTTTCTGCATTATTCAGAGTAGAATTACCCAGAATTCTGTGTACTGGATTTCTTATTTCAACATTATAACGTCTAACCCCTTCTCCTCATGTTTTTTCAAAGTTCTGCGGAAATCATTTTCGTATTCACAGTGGTTTTCAGCTGTTAATCCAACCACCGATGAGAATTGAATTTCGCATTGATTATAATCTTCACGTATGTGGACAATAGTTGTTCACCGATAATCGATAATGTTCTCCTTATATCAGTTTCTGAAGAAAATACATCACACAGTTAATCCAAATAACATGATTATGTCTCTGTTATTCTCATTCATACTTAATGACTTCTGTCAGATATCTGCCAGTGATTAGTTGACGATGCATACCACCGGTTATCAAACTAAATTATATTAACTTCAAATAGGGCAGCTTGGTAATCTGTGTGTTTGTGTGACATGACAATATGTAGGACAACTTCGGATTGTGCATTGCTTTATGAAGTCAAGAACTCATGGTTAGAATGTACGAGGATACGTGAGTCCTATCTATCATGATTAAACACGTGGAAAATTAAATTTGCACACTTCTGCTTTATAATTCCTCACAAACCAACAATCAATTTTCAATTTCATTATTCAGGTATTCGCTGGTGTGGTTTTGCAATTGGCAATTGCATTCGGTATAACATGTCTTTTCACGCAAGTGTAAGTTGAATAGCCAGTTAAGTGACAGCACAACAAATTCGTATTACAGTATAAAGCTCTCCTACTGGAACATTAAACACCCTGCATTTCTGTGGACCGGTAGGTAAGTTGATGTTCAGTTATTATTAGCACCTCACATTATGTCAGATAGCATCCACATTTTTAATCCTGACAATAAATAAAACTGTATATCCTAATCCTAAATAGAATTTATCAAAAATGTATATTTTTGTGATGTGGTTTTCAGTGGTTTCTGGTCAAAAGAACCGTTATGCGTTAATCAGACACCACTTTACACACATACTTAATACAAACTTATACTCTGTCTTCTATCACACGTGTATAGTGCAATTTACTTCGTCCTCGAAATTTTATGGGTCTTCATCAGAAACGTTTCAAGAACACTCCCATGGAATATCATATATTTGTTAATAATGGTAAGCGAAACATTGAAATCACCTTGAAAGTTATGCTTGTTATCCAATGTAACGTTAAGGTTTGAGTTTATTCAAACAGTTTATTATGCAAAATTATAAATCAACCCCATTCTAATGAATCATGAACACAACACGTATATATACACAACCTCAACTTCGATTTACAGAATTGTCTTCAGTATTAAAGTATGACATGAGACGACTGCAGAAACCTTTTGAGCATGAAGAATTTGAAAGAACCTGAACTCGGACAACATGCATAAGTGAGTAAATGTAGTTTGAAGTCGGTGGAACACCATGAAACTTAAACTAAAAGAGCAAATCAGTAACTGGCATATTGACGGAGAAGTACTAAAAATTTTCATTTGCAGGAAATTGGTTGGTCACAGGATTTCATCATGGAGTGGAATCAGTTACAGAATCACTGGAGAACCTAGGAATACTGTACAGCTGCTTCTTCAGCCTAGTTTGTGGTTAGCTGACGGGGCGCACCCACCGGAGTTTGACCCAGAACCTCCCGGTCACAAGAGGAGTTAGGACGAAATAGCTGTCCACAAATCCCAGGCTTTCCTTTGCTTCTTTGATCGATGTCAGTTCATGCTGAAATTCTGTAGCCAATATACCTTTTGCCGAACAATGTAATCTGTGGTAATACTCCTCACAGTGAACGAATTCAATGCTATTACTTACACCTGCATATATATCAAAAAATAGAGAAACTACCTAGTTGAGACAACACTAGACCAACCCTAAAAAATCACCCTGTCGACATTTATCATGCACGATTAATGTGATTCCTTTCGAAAATAAATTTCCTTCTTCAGTTCATTGGGCTACATTGTAGACCACGTTCAACACTGAATTTCAACCCCTTACTAATTTCCAATGTCTAATTATTCACGTAATATCCGCTTTTACAAATGAAAACCATTCCTGATACTTTGTAATCATATTTTCCGTTGATCTATGCTCATTTTCCACACGGAGTGTGTACATTTGTATTTTCATCTTCACTCATTTTCATCACAGGCACTCATGTCCTCCATCATAATTGGAACTGAATGCATAGAATACAACGATGATGTCCCTCTATTCGTGTTCGCGTTCATCTGGACGATGATGCAAGTCGTTGTCTCCTTCGCAATATTCATCATGAATGATTTCACTCAAACCTTCCTAGCCAGGATAATGAATGTTATATATACTATGGTAATGGTACTGGGTCAAATCGCTTACTTCGCGAGAAACCAAAATACGGTGAGTGAAAGTTGAGAATATTGTATAGTATTTCGCGACAGTTTATCGCCTTCAGCGTAAAATCTTCCTGAGTATTAGACGATATAACTACATCATTCGCTGGTACGAATGTGTATCTTGTAGTTTCGCAGTCGATGACAGTTTCAGTGGATAATTTCTTTAGAGCAGATAGACTGACTCTCTGATGACGTTGTTGCTTTCCCCCACAACACAGTCATTAAATAAACATAGAGTCTTCAGTTTTTCACCGCTGATGAATGTCTGATGTGCTCAGATAGACTGACAATGGATGACTCGGTGTTATGTTAAATAAACAATCACTAACGAGAAAAAGTATGCCTTCCCGAAGCCGCATCTAGATATTTGGCCCATATTGTCAGAATATTATACACAGGTTTGAATCTGCGTATGAATCTGAGGGTATGTGTCATAAAAGAAGTTGAGATAAAGACTGAGGAAACGATATCCTTTTAAGCAGTACGTGACATTTGATGCGTTTTATAAAATCCATAATAACTAAGTAAAAAAAACTACAAATCCTATTTCCATTACATGAACAAACTCGACATTAACGGAAGCTTCTTACTCTCCATGTCCTTTCATCCAAAATCTAGATTTTTCTACTGATCGCGGGGGTTATTGGATTCACGTGTACATGCTATGTAAGTCGCATATCAATATTCTCCAACAATTTGTCCAAGTATGTGTTGACTTGTCTTTCGAGAATCACCTATACTTCCATATTGCATTATCTTCAGCTTTGACCCTGCATACGATCAGTGCACACCCATTCGTGTTTTTCGAACACGATGAAGTGTGGAGAAATGATTGTCTCCTTCAAACACATAAGTCAATCTGTTGTCTTCTGAAAGCCCTTCAACTCAAACATCCTTATTTGTAGATGCACATGGCCTTTGTTCACATTTTGTCATCCGATTTCCCAGTTGCGATATACTTTGACCACCGAGGCTATTCTGCTTCACACTAAACAGAAATATCATCGACGAACATTGAATGTGACTGATGCTGTTGTTGTTGTTTTTATTGTTGTTTTAATACGTGGGTCGACTAATTTGTGGGATATCAAGCCGACACATTTTGTAATAGATACGTTCAAAAATTAAATTTCACAACCCATCAGACCATACAACTATTTCTTCTCGATTATTCCTTTCTAGGATCCAACGACCTTTTCAGGCGTCGGTGGCACAGTGGTTATGACTTTCGCTGACCATGCACATGGTCCGGGGTTCGAGCCCTCGCCGACGCACACCTGATACCTATGGTCGGCCTGCGAATTTTAGGCTACCAAAAATACGGTGTGGAATCAAGCTGTAATTAAAAAAAAGAAAAAAAAATGAATTCTAATAAATTATTCCATTTGACCAGTAAATTACAAATTAGGTTCAATTTTACCGACATGGTAGACTGCTTTTCTTAAGCAATGAACTCAAAATGCTTTCAAAATAACAATTTACAATAATGTGGCAAAACAATTTTTATCTAGACCTACAGAATGAATTTCATTACGCTTAGTGACGCTTTATATGAACGCAGACTAGTTGTTTTGTGATATATGTTGATTGTCGAAAACAGCTTCATCAAATCACAAATCGAAATCTGACGTCACTTGAAGCATCTTACAACCAATACTATACATGGAAATTTGTATTCCATCACTGCTGATTTCATGGAGAGCCTCTTAGTAAGTGCGTAATTGCAAGCTAGGCACACTGACTAATTGCCGTTAAAGAGTACTTTACTCTCAAAGAAAATTCTACAGTTAAATGTCGGTATATACGGGGAGTAGAATACGATATATATATATATATATATATATATATATATATAATATTTGAAATCCTGTATGGTGTGAGACGAAATATTAAATTGAAAAATTCTATGAAATTCTATTTTTAACTTCAACTTGGTAGTTAGGTTAGAAATGATGTAAGCTTTATATCCACAGACGCTTCACGCATTTATTATTGAATTTTTCACACATTGTTAATTTTCATTTCTTTCTATTTAAATGTTTACAGCAACTAGTAAAAGAAATGAAATGGTTGTTTGGAGAAGGCGAATATTCCTATCCGTTGGATAACATTGTCCTTCCAGCCTGGAACATTTATAGTTACACTTGGAGTTTATACCTGACGGTTATATGGGTGTACGCACCATTCGGACTGAGACACAAAATCCCTTAATCACCATTCCTGATATAATCATAGTCAGTATTTACATAAAACTGTAACCGGTTCATTGAAAATTAAAGTAGAATCTCTTTCCATAATCATTTGTTTTCTGTTTATTCTCATAATAAGGCGAAATTCTGTTAGAAATTTAACCCTTGAAAATGTCAAAAACAATAAAGAGTTAAATTAGTTGAAGCTTATCATCAGAGTCATATGAAGGGCATGTTTGAAGGCTCTTTGTATAATACGATTAGTAAGGTGAAAATATGCAGTTCGTATAAAGCGAGTTCATATTAAAACTGCACATTATTATTTTTTGGGTTTGTTTTGAAAGACAGGGCTCAGAACAGCATACCTCTGTTACATTCTGCTCTTTGCAGTCATTTCTAGCTGGTTTCTTTATTGTTCAGAGCCTTAAAACCCATCCTAACGCGGACTCATCATGAACCCTCAAACCCTTAATTTTTCGCTTCGCACTCAGATTTCACTTGAGGGTCAGGCGCATGATATCCCTCATCGGTCTCCTCAGAGAATATTCATTCTATCTGCTTTTCATTGTACATAATTGTTGGGTAGTAGCTTATTGGTTGGTTTGTTGCTGGAGCTGTTGACTGCATACCCTTTTCGGAAGGCCATCTGATCTTCACTCTGAAGCAAAAGCAACTGTTGGTAAAAGTCTTCAATCTGTGAGATATGCTTTTCAGAATGCGAGGACCAAGCTTCTGAATAATATAGAAGAACTTACCTAGCGTTAGTATCATGGTTATTATACTGAGTGAAGAAGATTTCCAGGTTTATTTCATTTTATGAGAATCCTTCTTACCTTTCCTCATCTGTACCAGCTGTAGTTGAATCGATGGTATTCATATAGGTGAAGGAATTGACCTCCTGCAAATTAGTTCAGTGATGGTTATTGATGCTTAATGTCGTCAATCGGTAATACTCACCACCAACCTCCTCTCTATATTAACTTGAAGACATGTCTTCACTGCCAAACTCTTCTGCGAACTTGATGGTTTTTTCCTGAAGATATTCAATTTTATGTGACATTAGGCATATATCCTCCGTTAAGTCCATATCTTCTAGCCTTCTCGTTAGAGCAACAATTTCCTTTCTTCTCACCCCCAAAGGTTCAATATATAACTTAGTCCACCACAGTTATGAATATCATCATTGATAGAGTAGGCAGCTTCCTGTCTTCAATTTAAAGCCTTGGTCGAATATTCCCTTCTGAATCACTTGACATGTTTCATAATCAATACCTACGGAAGATGTCAGGTTAAATTTTGCGGCAATGCACTCTGTGGTGTCACAGTAGTTTCCTGATCATTTCACGGTTGCCGGTATTGAGGACGTATTCAAGGCTGATGAATTTAAGACACGCAGTTGAAATCAACTCCATGTTCCGTTCGATTGCGTTGTGATAACTTTGACGTGCGCTTGAATCCAACTTTCTTCGAGCCGTTTTCTCCATTCAGTGCATTTTTTATGCCCTCATGAATGATGCTACATAGTATTTGCCAAGACGCGGATGGCAATCATTAAGTACACTCCCTTTCTTCCCGACTTTGTATAACGAAAATCCCCCATTAGAAATTTAGAAAGCGGAAGGATTGAGCGAAGAAATATTTTCTTTCCAATTAGATCCTCATCTCTGGCTCCACTCTGTATCACAAGTACTGTTTTGGAAATTATTATTATTATTACTCATATATATATATATATATATATATATACTAGATTAGAGGCAGAGACGAGGATCTAATCGGAAAGTAAATATTTCTTCGCTCAATCATTCTGCTTTCTAAATGTCTAAATAGGAATTATTTCTATATTGAAGTCTTCGTGGCAACAGCTGGCGTTAAAGTTGCTCAGTGAGTATATGAATTACAGTGCAAGGCCTAGTGAAGCAAGAATTACTTTGAACTTTCTATAATCCCTGCCTTAGCATGTCCGCTGCGATCTCTGGATCCATTTTAGTAATTTCAGAGGTGTTCCCTGTTGTACTTTCACTTTGATAACTGGCTTTTAGTAGCTTTATGATATTAGAAAATTTGGGGCCTTTGTCTACTGGCAGTAATTCGGTTTTTAACGGTATTTCTACAGGAATTGTGGGTCGTCATTAGTACGAAAGTCGTTTGAATCCATTATTCGTATATCTACTGTGCTTCTTTTCTTTGGTAGTTAGGTTCTCTTCAGTATATTTCATTGGTTTCATGTATGTTGATCTCTTTCGACTAAGTACAAGTTTATCTGCTTTTGGGACCTGAGGTCCCTCTTAACTGTAGCCTGTGTACCTTCAGTTTTCGGTGTGTTGTAGAATTTTCTTTTGTCTTTCTCAACACCCATCTTTATTTTTTGTTCAGAGAGTTGTGTGGAATTCACCTGCTTCTTCTGTTAGTCTTCCTCGAAATGGTTCATCTTCTGTTTTACCATCCCGTTCTTGTCTATTAACCTCTACATGTCCTTAAACATTCATTCGTTGAATCATCTCCTAATGAAGCTGAAAAAGGTTTGTTTACCTTCAGAGATGTCTAGTGTTCTTCCACAAACATTCTTCCTGACTTCCTCTGATCGCCAAAGCGAATTCGGCCTCTCAGATTCCTTCATTCCGTTTCGCATCTGCCTTTAATTTCTATGAAAGCTTCCATCCTAACTTTGAACTTTTCAGTTTCCTCTTCCACTCATCTCGATTTCTGACCAAAAAGTTGTGTCTTTATTTTCCCGAGATTAAGATGGAGCCTATCTGATGTCGTAGCGTGCCTATCTAGTAAAGCCAAAGTCACCCTATATATCCTTTTGCTTCTAGACGATACCTCAAATCACCAAATCATCAAAGACTGTACTAGCCACTTAACTGAAACCTTTTATAACCTTGAACTGGCTTGTCAATTTGCCTACCCCACACTCTACAAATCTATTATGATTAATCACCACCATTGTCTCCCGTTGTACGATATTTGTAATCGATTTCAGCCTAGCACGTTTGTCACGCAAATACGAATATTTATTTTGACAATCCATAACTAATCTGTTATTCTACGTTAAAAATGTATCCGTCATCGCATAACTGGCCTTTATTGTTACGACAACAAATATCATATTTTATAATTGTAAGAGCCTGAAGAGAAATTATTGAAAAGAATATTCTTCGTTCAGATTGACTTTTAACACAGAAATTCACAAGTGCTTTCCCATATTCACTCGTTTCACCGAAGAAACGCCTCATGACTCATGATCAATTCCCTTCCCACACTGTCTGCTCCGAATTTCTCTGGAATTCTCATCATTCACTAGAATTTTCATTTCCCTAATTTACCTGATATCTTGTCGATTACTGTTCTCAACTGTCTGTAGAAATCCTGCTTCTTCTGTTCTTAGAAGTTCATTTTAGACACGTAGCATTGGATAATTGTTATCCTCCTTCGTTTGGAGTTTTAGTCTTGCGTTGATTATCTTGGTGAATATTGGTTCCCAGTGCATGATAGCTTTCGATGCTGTTTGTGGCATCCCGGTGGCTACAGCGTCAGTCTGTTTGTATTTCTCGTCTGGATAACTGAAGTAAATTGTTGAAGTGTCCACTTCTATTTTACCTATTCTCACAGATTCCTAGTGTAACAACAGAAGACAAGGGCTGGCAACAGATCGTTTTATTACGAAAATCAACACGTATTTATATATATTTTATGTGCATTAATAAGGCTTATGCAAGCAGAAAAAGGCAGTCTTCTGATTGGTTGTTTCTCGGAAGTTAAGCAGACAAACACAGTCTTATGATTGGTTGTTTTCGATATTTCTCGGAAAGTAGAGCCATCTATCTGCGAATCATATTTGTCCACATTTAAGTTTGCTGTGATTGGTTGTTGAAACAGCCTTGTTCATATTTTCTCACGGCCCATATTAGTGACCTAGACATTAACGTAGATTAGTGCCAACCAATCGGCTAGCAGCCTGCTCTCACCACACTCGTCCCCCCGTCAAATAGCTTCGTGCGCAGACGTTCCGACCTTCTGGGTGCTACATCCTCTAGTTGAGGATTGTTACTGACCGGCTTGTCCCACTGTACCCATCTTTGGAGCTGACTGGCGTTAACTCGTTTCTGTTTATCACCTCTTCGGATGGTATATACTTGACCCCGTCTTTTTGTGATTGTGTATGGTCCTTCCCACTTTGGAAGGAGTTTCCGTGAACCTAGCCCGCCTCCAACTGTATATCTCCTGTCTCTACACTTCACTTGGTCCCCGACTGCAAAGGTAATGCACTGCGTCCTTTCTTTCATCTGAGACTTCGTGACATCACTGCGCTGCTTCCGTATTACATTCTTGACTGCCTCTTTCCTCTCTGCTTTTAATTTCGTCGTACTCCACTTTTGGTGCATGGGCCAGGTCTCATTGTGTACCGGTAATCGTGGTTTTCTACCATACATCAGTTGGAAGGGTGACTTCTTCGTTGTTTCCTGAGTGGTAGCCCGATGTGTTAGTAAAATCAGTGGAAGCTCCGTTTCCCAGTTCCCGCCCTTCGAGGCCAGCCACTCCTTCAGTGTACGGTTGTTTCTCTCCGTTAGGCCATTCGTTTGTGGATGGTATGGGGTCGTTCTGATCCTCTTGATGCCCAGCTGTTGCAAACGGGAAGTAAACTCTTCACTCTCGAAACAGGGACCTTGGTCTGTCAGTATTGTCTTCGGTACGCCGTGGTCTGCAACAATGTGTCTAACTACTGCATCTGTCACGGTTCTTGCACGTTGGTCTGGGATTGCTACGGCGTCTACCCATCGTGTCGCGTGTTCCGTCATCACCAAGAGGTACTGATTACCATTGGATGTCTGAGGAAATGGACCCATGACATCTACGGACCACAAGTCACCTATCGCGGTAACTGGAATCGACTGAAGTGGTGGTCGTATACCGGT